TCCTTCTTCGTCAACAGCATTCCTTCCCTTCTTTACTTCCTGCTGCCACGTCCCATTTTCTACACTCGTTTCATAACTCCTCCTATTTCGTCCTTTCCTCCAGCTTTCTTCTTCTTCTTATTTCTTCTTCATCGTGTACGATTCCACGGAAAAGTGTATCTGTCGCTTTCCAAATATTTCTGACTCTCTGCTGTTGTTTGTCTGGCTCTGTTTCAAAGTAGAACACTCTACTCTTCTTTTCTCTCTTACCTACTTTCTTCTATTTTTTTTTTGTCTTCTCTGAAATTTCTGCTGAATGTTTCTCTCCCTTATCTCGTCTTCGCTTCAATTTATTTTCCAACTTTACCTCGATTTAATAATCTGTCGGTTCCATACTGTCTCGTCACTGTTTCGAGAGGATATATTAGAAAACGTAGCCACATGTAAAGTGCCTAATTTGAAAATACAGCTTCCCCGTCTGTTATCTCGATTAAGAAATTCGATCGAAGTGTTGGTGGCTTCTATCTATATTTTCGCCATGTTATTGCACTAAAATTGGACCTCACTTTAGCCACACATCCTGTATCTCGTCCATCACGTGTCTACCTCGCCCACCCTACTCCCATGATCCTTGTGTCACACAGCCGTCATTCCATTCTCACCCCACCGGTATTTTCTCTTCCGGCTGGACGTTCCTCCTTCCCCATCCCTCTTCCTTCTATGCCCCGACATTCTATCACTCTCTTCCGACCGATCGGCTCAGAGGCTCGTTGTAATCAAGCGCGCACGTACACTTCCCACCGTAATCGATCCAACTCGCTGGTACAATTACTCAGCCGACTGTCTTACGTGATTCTGACCGACGCAGAAAAACGTCCTTTCTCGTTGCTCGACTTTTGCCCGGTCCTTCACCCTTCTATAGAAATCTACGGCATTTATTTCAACCGAATCGAAGGCAAGAACTTCAATTTTTTATTATTGATTTCTACGAGAGAAATATTATAATAAAAAAAAGAAGGATTGTGATAAAGGATTAGCTATTGGATTTCGTCCTTCCGCATGGCCGTTCGATATTTACCATTCGAAGTAAAATCGAGAAAAGGTGTCGCATCGAAATTATTTTTAATTAAAAAATTCGTTCGATTCTCCCTTCAATAGGGACGTCCAGCGTTTATTATCGAAGATGAAATTGAACTTCTATATTCGAATTTCGAGGAACGTATCGAAATTTTTTTCACGTCAGAAATAATAAAAAGGAAAGGATTGCGACGAAGAATCCATCATAAAATGTTGACAATTTATTATCCAAGGATAAAATAGAATTTTCATGTTCGAATTTCGAGGAAGTGATCGAAATTTTTTCCTAGACGATAAACAATAAAGAATAAAAAAAAGGATAATTCTGCGTGCAGTGTTAAAGGAAGATTTTATGCGACTCGAACGCAGGTGTCACTTTTATTGCACGTTTACGAGTTCACTTTCACGGGTGATAGCGGTGGCGAGTGGCCGGAAAGGATTCGAGGCGGGAACGCGCTCTCTGCGCTGACCTTAATTCCACGCGGATCGCGCCGCGGTCGATACGTAAATCATCGTTGAATACGGTTTTCCGTGGGTCGCTGTATGTACCGTTCGCGTAATTCTAATAAATCGGCTCGTCTCGCGTTGTAAATCACATTCCTCCCTCGTGTGATCACGCGTCGCTTCTCTCTCTCTCTCTCTCTCTCTCTCCCTCTCTCCCGTACACACATAAACACATACACACACACCAAGCTTCTTATCCGAGTCGTATACATATATATATATATCAAGCGAGTTGAGCAAAAATTAATCCCTCATCCCTCCGTTGATTCGACGAGTCACGAACGAGAATACACAACCTCAAATCCTCATCCCTGTTAAACGCTCGTAAATTAAAATTTCCATGCTTCTCTTGACTAAAATCGAATTTGTTCGGTTATTGGTGAAACGATTCCTCGACTAACTTTCGGAAGGGGTGGGTGGCTGGAGGAAAGACGATTTCGATGGAGGATACCTGTCATGTCGGTGCCTGCACATCCTTCCCCTTTTACGTAATGAGACGTGCATGAAAGTGGGAGAGGCCTTTTGCTTAGAGATTCGTAGGAAAGATAGTCGTAACGAGGCGTAGAGGGTGGATCAATACGAGGGTTCTTACGTAGTTCGCTCACTCTCTCTCTCTCTTTCCGACTGTCTCCTCCTTTCTCCGTACGCTCTCTCTAGTCCTTTCTCCTCAGACAACTCCACCCTGTGTCTTCCACCTTCACTTATCTCGTTCCTCACATCGGGAACTCCCTTTCCGTCTGGATTTCTCTCTCTCTTTCTCTCTGTCACTGTCTTTACTCTCTGTTTTTGTTTTTCTCTTTCTGCCTATTTCTCTCTCTCTCTCTCTCTCTCTCTCTCTCTCTCTCTAGTCGAGAGCTTGAAATGCACGAGAACGAAGGTGGCGACGGATGCTCGTTTCGTTTTGTTTGGGGGATCGCGTACGTTTCACTTTCTACCTGTATTATTTCTTCACCGAGGAAGCGCGAGGAGGACACTTCCGGTGACCGCACTTCCTGTCACCGGAACGACTGAAAAGAAAAAAAAAACGAACGACTTAGGAATAACGATAATAATCATACTCAGAGGAAGAATTTCGAGGAACGACGTGTGTAGTTAAAAAGGGGTAGCGAGAAAGAGAACTGTTCGTAGCCCACTCCAAATCGACGTGTACCTTTTTTTTTTTATTCTTTCTCTGATAAAATATATAACGCGAGCGACGCTCTGACAGCTACGACATCATCAACATCAACAACAACAACTACAACTACAACAACACACCAATAAAACATCCTACAACCGGGCATGCCCTGAGAGTACGAGAGTAGCCTGCGTGCGTGTGTGTCCAGGTATGAGAGTGCGTGTGCATGGAGCGCAGCGTGTGTTGTGTGTGGTGTGTGGTGCACGTGACAGAGAAACAGAGAGAAAGAGAGAGGAAGAGAATAAATCGATCGTGTACGATAGTGTGTGCGGTGTGCCTTAGGGTGCGGAACACACGACGATCGAAAGAGAAAGTGAGAAGAGAACGTTCAAATGTGTAAAAGAAAAAGAGGAAAAGAAACCTGCTTCTCTGTATGAGTGAGAAAGAACGATTGCTGCTCTCTTGTATGTAGTCGTGTGTGTACGTACATGTACGAAAGGAGAGGCCTGGTTTACGCGTGTGTTTGCGTAGGAAATGAGAAAGAGGTGAACAAATGTTTAACCATTCGAGCCTAACAAAAAGAATGAAGAGAGTATGAGTGTAAAGAGAAAAAAAGAAAGAAAAAAGAGAGATAGTAAGAATGAAAGAGAGAGAGAGAGAGAGAGAGAGAGAGAGAGAGAGAGAGAGAG